GTAGCTCCCTGACTCTGGCCTCCGCCCTCTTCCCGCAGCGCGCGACGCCCTGAGCAGCAGGCACGTGATGGTGAAGACTCGGCCCCTGGCGCAGGGCACGAGAGCGGCCAAGGCCAAAGCCAGGGCTTGTGCTGGTGAGTGTGGAGCCATGGCCACCGCTGTGCCCTTGGGGGGCGACCACCCATCCCAGCCGCTGGGCTCCGGGTGCGGAGTCAGCACGTGGGAATGCAGCGCCGGCGGGCGAGGGAGGCCCGGACACGGCTCGACTGGGCCATGGGCACTCGCTGCCCCTCCCGCAGGCTGTGCTCAGTGCCCTGCGGGGTCAGGGCGCGTGGGACTGGCCCTGCATGCCAGCGTCCGTTTAGGGTCCACACGATCCTGCTTGCTCCAGGCCTGGCATGGGGAGGGCAGCTGCAGGGAGGTGCCCCCTGGGGGATGGCACAGGACAGGGAGCAGGGCCAGGGCTTATCCGGCCCCGGGGCAGCCCAGTGCACAGGGCCAGGCCTGGGGTGGTGGCGTCCCCGCTAGCTCCATGCTGCAGTCCCTGGGGTGAATTGTACAGTGATGGCTGTCCCCTCTCTCCAGACCTCCTGCAGCCGGCGAAGGAGCGGCCGGAGACATCTGCGGCCCTGGCCCGGAGGCTGGTGATCGGAGCCCTTGGAGTGCGGAGCAACCAGAGCCGAGCCGAGCGCGAGGCCGAGCGCAAGAAGCTGCAGGAGGCCCGAGGTTGGCTCCCAGCCGCTGCTGGATCTGCCCCTCCATCCCTGCGCCCGGGGCTGATTGGCTTGCAGCCGCTGGGGGCGGCATGTCGGGGCAGTGGGGGCATGCAGGGGTTTCTCAGCTGTCTGCTCCACGCTGCCCACTCGCTGCTGCTGCTGTTCGGGGGGAGCCTTGCCCAGGCCTCGCTCTCCACTCAGAGAGAGCCGGCAGGCGGGCCGGCTCCAGCTGCAGCCACACTCCGAGAATCGGGGAATTGCAGGAAACAATGCTGTGTTCAGTGCTCTTCGCTAGGGGGCGCTCTGCTGCTGGACAGGAGCCGTGGATGGGCTCTGACCCCTGGGGCCTTGCCCCCTATTCGGGTGCTATCCCTGGCCTTCCGGCCAAATTCCCTCTTTGGAAAGTAAATCCCCCTGCTGTTTGTGTGGGCGGTTAGGCATTGGCCACAGCCCACCCAGAGGTGGCTGCAGCTCTGTGGGTGGGTAAGTGCAGGCGGTGCGGCTGGTGAAAGGCTGTGGCACGGTGGTGCCGGGCTGTGTTGGTTAGATGGCCGTTTGTGCTACGCCCTGGCCCTTGCCCGCTCTGGGAGTTGGGCAGGCAGTGAGCAGCGGAGCCCCCACCACCAGCCCCTGCGCCGCAGCTCCATGCCCACCTCAGCTCGGTGCTGCCAGGATCTGTGCCAGGCTCTGGGCAAATGCTGCCCATGTGGCCGGTCCGAGCGCTCCTTCCCTTCCCACACTGGGACGCGGGGTTGGTGGGGAAGCCAATCCCCCAACTCATTGGCCAAGCTGCCTGGCTCCTAGCCCCGGGCTAGCCCCGCCGGGGGCCGTGCTGTGCTGCCGATGGAGTCCGCGGGGCCTGGCTCCTAGCCCTGCCGGGGGCCATGCTTTACTGCCTCGCAGACCAGAGCACGATGGGGCCAGGAACAGACTCCTGGGTCCTGCCTCGTGTAACCCCAGCAGGCCCCACGCTTGCGTTTGGGGAGTCCCTGGGGCTGGCGGCTCCCCCAGATTGTCCGGTGGCTCCTGGCCCTGCCCACCCGGGGCTGCACACTCCTGCCCCCACCCTGGCTTAGCCCGCTCCACCCGCCCCCCTCCCAAGTCAGCACTGCCCAGCCTGGCTCCTTTCAGCCCTGCCCGGTCTGTCCCTGGGTGCGTGCGCTGGGTGGGGTCGCCCCAGGGCATTGTGCAGTGCCAGCCCCAGGCGTTCCCCTAGCTCTGAGGAGGGGTCCCTGTGCCATGGTGCCCTCACCTGCCACTTGCTGGCGCTTGCAGCCCTGCCCCCCTTTAGTGCCAGCTGCAGATCTCATTGGCTGCCTTGGCTAGCTCCGGAACGATGGTGGGGCCCGGGCTCGGGCCCCGCAGTGCCCACCAGGCCCTGCCCAGCCCAGCCCTTTGTTGCTGGTGGTGGTTGAAGGGGGGGGGCTCTGCCTGGGGGTGGCAGGCAGCTCTGGGAAGGGGGAGCGGGTTCCACACCAGGACCTGCCTTCGACTCCATAGTTTGCAACCCCACTACAGCCGCGCCTGGGCAACACCTGGCTCTCGGCGGGGCCGCTGGGCAGAGTCTGCTGCAGGCTGTCAGTGTGCCCGGCCCCCATGGCAGCTGGCTCACGGCCTGCCGGCTGCAAAGGCCAGATAACTAGTGATGGAGCGAGCTGGGCGGGCCAGGAAACCAGACCGAGTGTAACCCGGTCACGGTGAATGTCCAGAGCGTGTCACGAGCCAGGAGATTAACCCTTCCCTGTCTGCCTGCCAAGAGAGCGCTCTGCCCATGTGCGCCTGCCTCCCCATGCAGGCCCTCGCGCCCTGCCCCGGCCCCCTGCCCATCTGTGGGGTGGTGTTAGAATCATAGAATATCAGAGTTGGAAGGGACCTCAGGAGGTCATCTAGTCCAACCCCCTGCTCAAAGCAGGACCAATTCCCAACTAAATCATCCCAGCCAGGGCTTTGCCAAGCCTGACCTTAAAAACCTCTAAGGAAGGAGATTCCACCACCTCCCTAGGGAACCCATTCCAGTGCTTCACCACCCTCCTAGTGAAATAGTGTTTCCTAATATCCAACCTAAACCTCCCCTACTGCAACTTGAGACCATTACTCCTTGTTCTGTCTTCTGCCACCACTGAGAACAGCCGAGCTCCATCCTCTTTGGAACCCCCCTTCAGGTAGTTGAAAGCAGCTATCAAATCCCCCCTCATTCTTCTCTTCTGCAGACTAAACAAGCCCAGTTCCCTCAGCCTCTCCTCATAACTCATGTGCTCCAGCCCCCTAATCAGTTTTATTGCCCTCCGCTGGACTCTTTCCAATTTTTCCACATCCTTCTTGTAGTGTGGATCCCAAAACTGGACACAGTACTCCAGATGAGGCCTCACCAATGCCAAATAGAGGGGAACGATCGCGTCCCTCGATCTGCTGGCAATGCCCCTACTTATACAGCCCAAAATGCCGTTAACTTTCTCGGCAACAAGGGCACATTGTTGACTCATATCCAGCTTCTCGTCCACTGTGACCCCTAGGTCCTTTTCTGCAGAACTGCTACCTAGCCATTCGGTCCCTAGTCTGTAGCAGTGCATGGGATTCTTCCGTCCTAAGTGCAGGACTCTGCACTTGTCCTTGTTGAACCTCATCAGGTTTCTTTTGGCCCAATCCTCTAATTTGTCTAGGTCCCTCTGTATCCGATCCCTACCCTCCAGTGTATCTACCACGCCTCCCAGTTTAGTGTCATCTGCAAACTTGCTGAGAGTGCAGTCCACACCATCCTCCAGTTCATTAATGAAGATAATGAACAAAACCGGCCCCAGGACCAACCCTTGGGGCACTCCGCTTGAAACCGGCTGCCAACTAGACATGGAGCCATTGATCACTACCTGTTGAGCCCGACGATCTAGCCAGCTTTCTATCCACCTTACAGTCCATTCATCCAGCCCATACTTCTTTAACTTGCTGGCAAGAATACTGTGGGAGACAGTATCAAAAGCTTTGCTAAAGTCAAGGAATAACACATCCACTGCTTTCCCCTCATCTACAGAGCCAGTTATCTCCTCATAGAAGGCAATTAGGTTAGTCAGGCACGACTTCCCCTTGGTGCATCCATGCTGACTGTTCCTGATCACTTTCCTCTCCTCTAAGTGCTTCAGAATTGATTCCTTGAGGACCTGCTCCATGATTTTTCCAGGGACTGAGGTGAGGCTGACTGGCCTGTAGTTCCCCGGATCCTCCTCCTTCCCTTTGTTAAAGATGGGCACTACATTAGCCTTTTTCCAGTCATCCGGGACCTCCCCCGATCGCCATGAGTTTTCAAAGATAATGGCCATTGGCTCTGCAATCACATCCCTCAAACCCCGAATGGGTAGAGGCCAGCCCCATGGACTTGTGCTC